GAGAACATTGAATGCACACGGACACATGGGAGAACACTGAATGTACACGGACACACGGGAGAACATTGAATGCACACGGACACACGGGAGAACATTGAATGCACACGGACACATGGGAGAACATTGAATGCACACGGACACATGGGAGAATACTGAATGTACACGGACACACGGGAGAACATTGAATGCACACGGACACATGGGAGAACATTGAAAGCACACGGACACATGGGAGAATACTGAATGTACACAGACACATGGGAGAACATTGAATGTACATGGACACATAGGAGAACATTGAATGTACACGGACACATGGGAGAACATTGAATGTACACGGACACATAGGAGAACACTGAATGTACACGGACACATGGGGAGAACATTGAATGTACACGGACACATGGGAGAACATTGAATGTACACGGACACATGGGAGAACATTGAATGTACACGGACACGTGGAAGAATACTGGATGTACACGGCAGGGGTGGACTGACAACTCATGGGGCCCCCGGGCAATAGGGGATCATGGGGCCCCTGTGTCCTTGCCCAAACTCAAAAAAGCCTATGAAAAAGGCACCAGGGGCATCTCATGGGGCCCCCTACTGACCCCGGGCCCTCGGGCAGTGCCCGAGTTTCCAAACGGTCAGTTCGCCCCTGGTACATGGACACATGGGAGAACACTGAATGTACACGGACACGTGGAAGAACATGGAGCTGCTTCTACAGGCAAAACACAAGACTGGTGGGGACGCTGCGATTTGTATGTTGTTCTCAATAGGGACAATCACACCGGAGTGTGAACATGTGCTGCGCCCGCACCCATAACACAGAACCCAAAACATCTGCCGCTGACAACACATGTATACATACTATGAGCACATATTACACACTATGAGGACATATTACATACTATGAGGACATATTACATACTATGAGGTCATATGACATACTATGAGGACATATTACACACTATGAGGTCATATGACATACTATGAGGACATATTACACACTATGAGGTCACATGTAATAGTACGATGTCACAGAATCATATCCAGGCAGGGAAGAGGACGATCGCACACATAAAGCCATCGATTTACCGATCGTTTACAAGGCGACCTTTTGTACTTTGCCGATTGTGGAACTATTATAGCCATACAATCTGTGAGACAAACCGACACAATCTGTGAGACAAACAAACTGACACAATCTGTGAGACAAACAAACCGACACAATCTGTGAGACAAACTGACACAATCTGTGAGACAAACCGACACAATCTGTGAGACAAACTGACACAATCTGTGAGACAAACCGACACAATCTGTGAGACAAACCGACACAATCTGTGAGACAAACAAACCGACACAATCTGTGAGACAAACCGACACAATCTGTGAGACAAACAAACCGACACAATCTGTGAGACAAACAAATTGATACAAAAAAAATAAATAAAAAGAATGCTACAAATGAAATACACAGACAGATAAACTGATACAAACAAGACAACAAAACGAGTAGAAATTGAAGGAAAAGCGACATAATCTGATAAACACAGAAACTGAAGAAGAAAAACACTAAAAAAACTCTTATTACATTTTTTTACTTCCAACCAATGAGGAAAGCGGCAGTTGGTAACGTAAATCGTTATTTCAGCGCTGACGGCGGCGACAATTGTCAGTTTCATAAAAATAAAATGATTTAAAAGCAACAAAATTTCGGATTTCGCCCGCGGAGGAGGACGGAGGAAAACGGAGGAGGACGGAGGGAGGACGGAGGAAAACGGAGGAGGACGGAGGAGGGCGGGGGAGGACGGAGGAGGGCGGAGGAAAACGGAGGAGGACGGAGGAGGACGGAGGAGGACGGAGGAGGACGGAGGAAAACGGAGGAGGACGGAGGAGGACGGAGGAGGACGGAGGAAAACGGAGGAGGACGGAGGAGGACGGAGGAGGACGGAGGAGGACGGAGGAAAACGGAGGAGGACGGAGGAGGACGGAGGAAAACGGAGGAGGACGGAGGAGGACGGAGGAGGACGGAGGAAAACGGAGGAGGACGCGGCGAGTCGCATCGGTGAGACGCCAGGAATTTCAGGTGAATAAAAATGTGCGAAGAGCAGAAAGAAGAATGGAGGAGACGCCGATATGGAACCTTCTAGAAGCTTCACCAACATAACAATCCGGAGACGACAACAGACTCTACAACCACACGGCCAATGTCGGCGCCATAATCCGTATCTCCTCCCACACAATACTCTGCGCTCTGCAATCACAATATTCCGCTTTGCTTTTCTTTTTTGTTTTGTTTTCTATATAAATCTACAAATCTGCCGAAAGATTTCTCCAAAAAAAAATTGTTTATAAATTATCGGTGATATCACTGGGCAGGAAATCGTTGTATATATGTCTAGATTGTATGTATGGGGTGAGGTCCTCCATTGTCCTCAGATCTCTGAATAATAATAATAATAAATAATAATAATAAAAAAAATAAAAATAATAATAATAAAAATAAAAATAAAAATAATAATAATAATAATAATAAAAATAAAAATAAAAATAATAAAAATAATAATAATAATAAAAAATAATACAAATAATAATAATAATAAATAATAATAATAATGAAAGAAAGAAAACAATAATAGTGAATTGCAGCTCCGACTAGAAGGTGCAGAAACCTTTCTTTTCCCCGATCGTACGATGTCCCCGATCTGTCTGCGCCGATATTATGCTGCAATCTATTATTATTATGATCTTATAATACATTTATCATCGGATCCGCATAGGAAATATTTCCCGACTTTCGGGCCGACTTCAGGATGACATTGGAAGGAATGATGAAGAATGGGACCTCGGGGAGCCGAGACTGCGGCCAATAATAGGCAGAACCTGCTGGACGACCTGGAGCCCCCCGGGGGGGGGAGGGGGGATGGGGTGTATTGGGGGACAGGTGTGTGTGTGTTGCGGGGGTCATCCTATATCCGGGGATTCCAGGCGTTTGGGGGGGTCTCCTGTGTGTCGGGCATCGATGGAAGCTGATCTGTATTCCGGGGCCGACAGTACTTCTCTCCGCCACCGTATAGGTGAGACACAATCATAATATCAGCGCTGACAGCGGGAGGACGATCGTTATTATCGCCAGAAGGTAAATCCGCAGAAATGTCGGAATAATCAGAGATCATAATTGCGAGGATTCCGATCGGAAATCAATCCGTCAATCGACAGATCTGGATACAGACAATGCAATTCTCCGAGGAAATCGTTACAACAAATCTCAATTATTTTTTTTTCTTCATCACAAAACGATACAAATAAAGTCGGAATTTCTGCATTTACTATTGATTCGTTATTATCGCTCCGATCGATTTCACCATCTCTGTCGATGGCCGATCTCCCTTCCATATAAATGTATGTTGGACTCTATACAATCACATCGATATATATACACCACACACTATATATACATCCCGGTGTGTCCGGAGGGATGGGCGCACACACAGGACGTCGGGTGGTACCATCTTCCCATATGGGGGACACAAAACTCTCCGATAATTATCCCCCGATCCAGGACCATCTGCCTCCAATAATTCTAGAGATCGGCGATCAGCCCATCAATGTAGATCGACAAAATGTCTCCATCGGGACAGAAATTATCAGGAAGAAATCAGATCATTGGGTGACAGGAGACGATCCGACCAGAGACATCGGATCTGTGTGTGTGAGAGGGATATTTTGTTCGGGGGTGACAGTGGTGCGGTGGGGGGGGGGGGGCTTTGGTTGTTTCGGGTTGCTGTGTGGTGGGTTGGTTTGGTGATGTATGTGGGGTTTATAGTGTAAGGGGGTGAGAAAATGGGGGGCTCTGTGGTGTACAATGGGGGGGGGTGTGTTGGGGGTGTGGGGGGGGGGGGGGGGGTTGTGTTGTATGGATGGGTGAATGGTGAAGCTTTGGGGGAGGGCTGTATTGTGAAGTGGGGGGGGGTGGGGGGTGAAGGAGGAAGGGGGATTGTGTGGTCACGGTGAGAAGGTGTGTATGGGGGAGTTGTGTGGTGGGGGGTATAAGGAGAGAGGAAGATGGGGGGGGTGGGGGTGATGTTTGTGGGGGGTGTATAAGGAGAGAGGAGGGGGGGGGTGTATGGTGTTTGTGGGGGGGGGGTGGAGTAGTATTGTGGGTTTTCAGGGGAGTTGATGGGGGGACCTATGGGGGGGGGGATAGTGTGGTCACGGTGATGGTGTGTATGGGGGAGTTGTGTGGTGGGGGGGTATAAGGAGAGAGGAAGGGGGGTGTATGGTGTCTGTGGGGGGGGGTGGAGTAGTATGTGGGTTTCAGGGGAGTTGATGGGGGGGACCTATGGGGGGGGGGAATTGTGTGGTGGTCACGGTGATGGTGTGTATGGGGGAGTTGTGTGGTGTGGGGGTATGGTGAGGGGAGGAAGGGGGAGTGTATGATGTTTGTGGGGGGGGGGGGGAGTAGTATGTGGGTTTCAGGGGAGTTGATAGGGGACCTATAGGGGGGATGTTGGGTGGAAATGTCAGATTGTCGGCCTTATTCGGATGGGTGCCAGATTGTGGGGTGATAGTGTAGGTGCAGTGGGAGGGCAGAATCGCTCCCTGGGGGGTGTACATAAACCTCCCTCCCCTCCCCAGCCCAGAAATAAGATGTCCAGACGATGCGCTCCATTTCCGGTGGAATAATAATCGGTTTATTCATAGAAAATAAGTTATGCGCTCCTGGGGGGAGGGGCTCTCCAGTCCGGCTCGGAACTCCCCCCAGGAACAGAACTCCTCCTCAACATAATAAAATCTTTGGCTTGAAAGTGACAGTTCTGCTGCCTCCCTCCAGGGGGAGGACTCGGGGGGGAGTCCACAGTCAAGGTGGGGGTGGGGGGGGGGTCACCCCCGAAATCACAGAGGGTGGAAGGAGGGGAGAATGGTCCCGGGGTCCTTACCTGATAGAAATTCTATACAGGGGGCTCTGTGACGTACATATAGATATATTATATTGGGGTGGGGGTGGGGGGGTCAGTCGCTCTCCTCCTTGTCCTGCACCGTGGTGGTGGAGTGTTTGTACAGTCCCTGGGCCATATCAGGTGGAGGGCCAGTCCGTTCTTCAGGCCGGAAGCCTTCTTTATCTTGGCCCTCTTATTCTGGAACCAGATCTTGATCTGGGACTTTTCGTTGAGGATTTCAGCTCTTGGGCCAAGGTCTCTGCCATCCTCTGCTCTGTGATGTTAGCGAATTTTGTGCCTGGAACTCGTTCTTCAGGCGCGCAAAGCTGCTTCCGCGGTGAAGGCCGTTGCGGGGCCGCTTATATCCTCCTTCTCATTCATTTCTTCTTCTCTCAGTTTCCGGGTCCGGGGCCCCTAAGAGGGGGACACATAGGGGGCATGGAGGTGTTAGAGACTGCAAACTGACCCCAACCCCCCCCTACCACCTTCTATAGAGTGAATGTGGACACATTATTGTCAGTTTATTAGGATAGCTACTGACCAATACCGCAGCGCTGTACAGAGATCACTGAGCCAGTCACATAAGTCTGTGTAAGAGGAGCTTACACTCTAATGTCCCCTCCCCCACAGTCCCATCAGTCTGTGTACAGAGGAGCTTACGCTTCTAATGTCCCCCCCCACTCCCCCCGCAGTCCCATCAGTCTCTGTACAGAGGAGCTTACGCTCTAATGTCCCCTCCCTCCGCAGTCCCCATCAGTCCATCAGTCTCTGTACAGAGGAGCTTACGCTCTAATGTCCCCTCCCCCACATTCCCATCAGTCCCATATCTCTGCACCAGAGGAGCTTAACGCTCTAATGTCCCCCTCCCCCGCAGTCACATCAGTCTGTTACAGAGGAGCGCTTACGCCTCTACAATGTCCCCCTCCCCCGCAGTCCCATCAGTCTCTGCACCAGAGGAGCTGACACTCTATGTCCCCTCCCCCATAGTCCCATCAGTCTCTGTACCAGAGGAGCTGACCACTCTAGTCCCCCTCCCACAGTCACACACACCATATTATACATTATATAGCTCTGACATAGACCGCAGTGCAGTACAGAGGGTTGCAGTATATATTATATTATTATCGGCTCCGATGTTTAGGATGGAGGTGATGATATATATATATTCAGGAATGGTGCAGAGGTGGGGGGGCAGAGACCAATCACATTCCGGGGTCACAGTGAATGGAATCTGATTGGATATCCCTACACCCCCCCCCCCCCCCCCCCGCCCTGTAATTCAGGTGACCCCCCCTCCATATATACCGATCATATCTCCGGGATACAAACGATGAAAATGAAACCGAACAATCAGACAAATATGAAGACTATCATTACAGTTACTACTCCCTCTACTCCTCATACTACTACTCCTATCATTACTATACCCCTAATACTACTACTCCTATCATTACTACCAAAAAAAAAAACTACCCCCCTAATACTACTACTCCTATCATTACTACCCCCTAAAAACTAACTACTCCTATCATTACTACCCCCCCAATACTACTACTCCACGCTATCATTCCTACCCCCCTAATACTACTACTACTATCATTACTACTCCCCCTATACTACTACTCCTATCAATTTACTACTCCCCTACTATACAACTACTCCTATCAAACAACCACCCACCCCCCCCCCAATACTACTCCTCCTATCATTACTACGTTTACTCCCCCATATTACTACTACTCCTATCATTACTACTACCCCCCCAATACTACTACTCCTATCATTACTACTCCCCTATTACTACTACTCCTATCATTACTACCCCCCCCAATACTACTACTACCTCCTATCATTACTACACTGGCACCCCCCAATACTACTACTCCTATCATTACTACTCCCCTAATACTACTACTCCTAATCATTACTACTCCCCTAATACAACTACTCCTATCATTACTACTCCCTCTACTGATATACTACTACTCCTATCATTACTACCTCCCCTAATACTACTACTCCTATCATTACTACCCCCCTAATACTACTACTCCTATCATTACTACCCCCCTAATACTACTACTCCTATCATTAACTACTCCCCCTAATACTACTACTCCTATCATTACTACTCCCTCTACTGATACTACTACTCCTATCATTACTACTCCCCCTAATACTACTACTCCTATCAGTACTACTCCCCCTATTACTACTACTCCTATCATTACTTACCCCCCCAATACTACTCCTATCAGTACTACTCCCCCTATTACTACTACCCTATCATTACTAATAATCCTCCTTCCAATACTACCTACCCCTATCATTACAATACTCCCTCCTCCCCCCAATACTACTACCCCCTATCATTGTAATACTCCTCCCCCCAATACTACTACCCCTATCATTACTAATACTCCCCCCAATAATACTACCCCTATCATTACTAATACTCCTCCCCCGATACTACTACCCCTATCATTACTAATACTCCTCCCCCCAATACTACTACCCCTATCATTGTAATACTCCCCCCCAATATACTTACACCCTATCATTGTAATACTCCCCCCCCAATACTACTACCCCTATCATTGTAATACTCCTCCCCCCCAATACTACTACCCCTATCATTGTAATACCCCCCCCCCAATTCTACTACCCCTATCATTGTAATACTACTCCCCCCCCAATACTACTACCCCTATCATTGTAATACTCCTCCCCCCCCCCCAATACTACTACCCCTATCATTGTAATACTCCCCCCCAATACTACTACCCCCTATCATTGTAATACTCTCCCCCCAATACTACTACCCCTATCATTGTAATACTCCCCCCCCCAATACTACTACCCCTATCATTGTAATACTCCCCCCCCCAATACTACTACCCCCTATCATTGTAATACTCCTCCCCCCCCCCAATACTACTACCCCTATCATTGTAAATACTCCTCCCCCCAATACTACTACCCCTATCATTGTAATACTCTCCCCCCCAATACTACTACCCCTGTCATTGTAATACTCCTCCCCCCAATACTACTACCCCTATCATTACTAATACTCCTCCCCCAATACTACTACCCCTATCATTGTAATACTCCTCCCCCCAATACTACTACCCCTATCATTGTAATACTCCTCCCCCAATACTACTACCCCTATCATTGTAATACTCCTCCCCTATCATCATCACTCCCCCTATCATTGTAATACTCCCCCCCCAATACTACTACCCCTATCATTGTAATACTCCTCCCCCAATACTACTCCCCCTATCATTGTAATACTCCTCCCCCAATACTACTCCCCCTATCATTGTAATACTCCTCCCCCTATCATCACTCCCCCTGCTGCTGATCATACTGCCAGTGATGAGAGGCGGAGGCGGGAGACGGCCTATGTCGGCGATATTACACAGGACCCCCACCCCCATCAGAGTAATATTGGAGGATTGGGGGGGGTTGTACTCCCTCACACACAGGAGACGCTCCCTCTGTACTGCGCCGCGGTCTATGTCGGAGCTGTCTCTGGATATATCTCCTCCTCCATCTGTAATATTATGCCCCCCCCCCCCACCCCAGTACTCTGTATAGGATCTTGTACCCCCCTCATCGGGCGATATACATGTGTGTGGAGACGATTCTCTGTCCATGAAATCCATTTTTTTTATCGTTCAGAATTCAGTCGCATTTTATCTGTTCGATAATCGCAGCAGCAACAACAAGACAAGAAACGTCCCTCTATAAATATAAAGAGGATGTGGACCCCCCCGGATCGGTCTGTGTGGGGGCAGATCACAGGAATGACGATTGTCAGACGAGAAGGATCCATCCCACAGAGCAGTATACAGTATATATATATATAGGAGGCCTGGTGGGGTCTGTACTCCGCCGCGGTGTATGTCGGCGCCATGAACAATCATGTCATATATACAGCCCGACATACAACAACCAATACAATGGACGGATCGTGTGCAGATCGGGCGGCTGACAGCGCAGACCATACCATTGGATTGAGTGGAATATATGGGGGGGGGGGGGGGGGCAGAGATCGGAAATGGCAGATTTCATGCCGATCGACACAAATCACACAGAACGATACCATGTGATGACAGAAATAATCGGCTTCCACCATCGATAATATCGCTTCCAATCACCGGATAATAATCAATCAAGATTGTACAGAGATTGGTGTCACCGAGAAGAACATCCACCCCGAACATCGCGTGTGTGTGGGGGGGGGGGGGGCTCACATCTTCTCTGTGAAGAATGGAAAATTATCGCAGAGTGAATCAGAAATCAGAGACCCCCCCCAAATATTATCTGCCCCCCATATATTATCTGCTCCCCTTATATTATCTGCTCCCCCATATATTATCTGCACCCCCCCATATATTATCTGCCCCCCATATATTATCTGCCCCCCTCATATATTATCTGCCCCCCTCATATATTATCTGCACCCCCCCATATATATTATCTGCTCCCCCCCTATATATTATCTTCCCCCCCTCATATATTATCTGCTCCCCCCCATATATTATCTGCTCCCCTTATATATTATCTGCTCCCCCCATATATATATTATCTGCTCCCCTTATATTATCTGCTCCCCATATATTATCTGCACCCCCCATATATTATCTGCCCCCCTCATATATTATCTGCCCCCCTCATATATTTATCTGCACCCCCCCCCATTAATATTATCTGCTCCCCCCCATATATATTATCTGCCCCCCTCATATATTATCTGCTCCCCCCCATATATTATCTGCTCCCCCTTATATTATATCTGCTCCCCCCCATATATTATCTGCTCCCCCCCATATATTATTATCTGCTCCCCCATTATATTATCTGCACCCCCCCATATATTATCTGCCCCCCATATATTATCTGCCCCCCTCATATATTATCTGCCCCCCTCATATATTATCTGCACCCCCCCATATATTATCTGCTCCCCCCATATATTATCTGCCCCCCTCATATATTATCTGCACCCCCCCATATATTATCTGCCCCCCATATATTATCTGCTCCCCTTATATTATCTGCTCCCCCCATATATTTTATCTGCACCCCCCCCCATATATTATCTGCCCCCCTCATATATATTATCTGCACCCCCCCATATATTATCTGCTCCCCCCCATATATTATCTGCTCCCCATATATTATCTGCTTCCCATATATTATCTGCCCCCCTCATATATTATCTGCCC